GTCATCATTTATTTGTGTTCAAGTCTTTCACCACCACACAGCAACAGCGCAAAAATCATTGTTTTATTAATTACTTGACGTGCTTATGACGTGATAAAAGCTGTTAATGTTCGCAAAATCTTGCGATTTTGTATTGACCAATGATAAATTAGAGTGAGTATCACATACGTAAGAATCTCATGAAAGCAATCGAAAACATAAAATCATCCTTAGTTTCTGAAATTAAATAGACGACATTTGTTCTGAAAGATTCGTGTTTGTATTTTGTAACCGATTTCAAGTGACTTTTTATGATAAAAGATTAGTAGGGCAAACTGTTTTTCCCTTCTCTGATGACGGTCTCTGATATCTTCTATGTCATAGCGGTAAATGCGCCTCGATGTCGTCTCGCGTTTGCAAGTTGTGCAAAAAATTAAGATACCTAAAAAAATGTCCTTTATTCAGGATGCTGACACTTAATGTATTAATCTTCTTCTGCACAAACTATGAGCCACAATTCAAGCCAGTCATTCAGTTTCCTCATCAGGTCGTCTTCTTGTATTGGACGACATCTTGCCAAAATAATCAGAATGTGACTGGTACACATCGGACATCTATTTTCGAAAATTGCTGCTAATCAGAAGCTATAAAATTGCAAAACAAATGACAAAGAGCAGCTAAGTTTTTTACGTGTCTGATCAAGGGTGATTCACTAGAACTACAGTAGTAGCCGTAACAGATGTGTTTCGCTCAGACGCATTATCGTTTCTTGTCTCTTTTTCGTATTTAATTCCACACATTTAGTTAAATAGGCTGACTGCAGAACTTGTTAGTCTGATACTGTGAGTTATCTTTTTAAAGAATCCCGTACTCAGTCAGTTTTCAAATCCTGGAGACGTCCAATGTATGTTCTAGATTATTCTGCTGTATTAAGTTATCCTTCCGTTATTTTGAAACTTTCAATGATGACTGACAACCAAAGTTCGAATGACACGGAAATCATTTCATTTGCCAGCACCGAAATCTCTCTACCGCGTGCTGCTCGCTTTTGGATTCTTCTTCTATTTGATGTTCCATCCATCATTTGTGCATTTTTCGTTCTCTTCTCCGTCCTTATCGATCGAAAATTACGCTCTACTATCAAGAACCATGTCCTCGTCGTGTTGCTTCTTCTTGGCTTGGGTCTTCAATTAATTGATGTTCCTTTTTATCTCAATTTTATTGTACATTCGAGTGTTGTTCCACAGAGTCAGTCGATCTGTCTCTTGTGGTGGTTTGTGGATATTGGTATGTACAATGGAGGAGTCATATTTTTGGCATGGACCGCACTGGAACGACATATTATCGTATTTCACGATCAATGGATTGCAACGAGAAAAAGATGTATACTAATACACTATTTACCATTGCTTTTTTTAATCCTGTATATTTTCATTTATTACATTTATGCCGTTTATTATTTTCCCTGTGAAGATGCTTACGATTATACATTACCATTCTGCAATGGGTCTCCATGTTATCTAAATGATTCATTTATGGGCATGTGGGATTTCATTACCAATAGTGCTTTGCCATCATTTCTCGAAGCACTTTTTAGTTTCGCTTTTCTTTTTCGAGTTTTCTGGCACAAATATCGCTTTCATTTACCAATGCAATGGCGTAAGCAGCGAAAGATGACCATTCAGCTCATGTTCCTCTCTTCTCTGAACATGGCCGTCACTCTTCCAATCAGTATTATTGGCGTTGCTCATTTGTGTGGTTTACCAGAAGATATAGGAGTCGAAGCTGAACAGTATTTCTTTTTTCTTTGTTATTTTGTTATTTTTCTCTTTCCTTTCATCTGTCTTGCATCGATAAGTGGTGTAAACAAAAAATTTCAAGAAAGAATACTTCGTCGACGACGACAAATGCGACAATTGGCGGCAACGGTTAAACCTGGGCGTTTCAGAATAAATATGACAATGCAGCATTAAATGAAACATTTTGAAACTCTATTTTTGATGTTTTCTATAGTTCAACCAACCTCCGATGTGAAAGAGAAAAAACAATTTTAAAATAATAGACCATTGTGTTCCTTCGATGTTGTGTTGTATTCAAAAAAGCACATAAAATATTGATGATCGTGTTTTTAAATTCTTTTGTTTATTGTTACGCTCGGAAGCGGTCACATAGGCATAGGTGAAAAAGAGAAAAGCTTTAGAATCTCACAAGAAGGAACCTAAAATAACATGATACTTTCAACAATAGAAGACAGAAAAACAATGAAAAAGAGAAAAAAAACGATAAGAAAAGGAACTGATGAGAGAAAACGAAAAAAAAAGAAAGTCCGAAAAAGAAGAATGTGGGATGTAAGTAACAAGGATATTAGCAGGGATGTGGGTGGAGTTGTAGACGAAATAAATACCGAAGCTCACAGCCACAATCGAATAATAAAATTCGATATGCAAAAGATCAATTGAAGCAACAGTTGCCTATCAGGATTTAGATGAAATGCGACAGGACCATAATTTTACTTTCCATTGGAATATTTCATTGAGCACAAGTATTAAAAAGACCAGATTTGTTACCAAACGTTTTATAAGTTACTTCAAGAGTAAACTAAATTTAAATTCGTCAACAATGATAGATTCTACCATTATGATTCATTCAAATTTTTGGAGTTTAATACGTCAGCAGAAACTTTCAAAGATATAGCCCAATACGATTGTTATCGATTGGTTCAATATGCTACTTAGTAGAATCAATCAGAAACAATTGAACATATTTGATCAACATTATTAAAACTTAATCTAGAAACTATTAATAAATCGAACAATTTCTGTCATTTATACGGAAACCATTCGTTTGTGAAATAGATTCTGAATAGTCGTCAGTGTTTCAATGATGGTATTTTTTTTTCAAATGCAATCGAAAACAATTGCTAATTGATCTTCAATTGACAAACCAGATCAATCAATGTTCACTGAAAACGTTCGATTGCGCTTCTAGCGATATATATTCATTTAATGATCGCGAACAACTTTATCAATCGTATGCGCCAAATAATTTTTTTAATACACATCCAATTAAATGTAGTTTTCCCATTCAATGGATACTTGATACAGTCAGAAATCGATATGCACACAATGATAAGTGTCAAATTTTAGTATTTATCTGTATTACAAACTGCTATGATGCTTTACCTATTATTCAAGATAGAGTGCCGTCAGAAACTTGTTTCGTTGCACTGCTTGATAGAAAAACGATGAATGCATTTAAGCGGAATTTCTCTACAGGGGCAGACCCAATGAATAAAGGGTGTTCCATAATAACTCACGATAAATTGTTTTTGATATTTTTTACATTTTTGTTTTTGACCTAGAGAGATGAAATTTTTATCATATATACATCTAATCATCGTCTTCCATTTCTGAAAGTTTCAGCTTTCTAGATAAAGCTAGTGGCGAAATGCATCAACAAGATTGAAATGCATAAATTTTCGTATTAAATATTGCGAAGTAGTTCCGTGGGTAGTCAACCAAAAAATCACAAAGCATTCAGAAAATTTTCTTTCCTATCCAAGTTTGTAGAACTTTTTTTCGCTGATCATTTTGGTAAAAAAAATTTTTGAATTTCATTGAGAAATGGCAATTGTTATAGTCAAAATATTTATTGTAAAAACAGAAGATATCAGATTTTTTTAAATAGGAATATCGTATACAATGTTTAATCGAGATTTATTCATCTTGTTTGTCTGTATCTAAGAAACTGACTATAGGATTTTGTAGAGCAAATTTTCCTCTGCAAAACCTACTATGTTACATTTCTTCAGAATATAGCCATTTTGAGATATGTGAATTGACTTTTACTTACATTTTACAGTGTTTAGTATTTTGTCTATAGCATCAGCATTTCTCAAAGAAATTCAAAATTTCTTTTTACCAAAATGATCAACGAAAAAGCTCTACAAAGTCTGATACGAGAAAAAAAAATTTCTGAATACCTGGTGATTTCTTGGTTGACTATTCACGGAACTACCTTGTACTATTTTCACAGTAAAACATATTAAAAAATCATTTTCGAAAATTGATGCATTTCACCACTAGTTTTAGCTAGAAAACTGAAGCTTTCACAAATAAAAGATCTTCATTAGATATATAAGCGATAAAAATTTCAGCGCTCTACGCCAAGAAAAAGTATGAAAAATATTATTAACAATTTATCGTCAGTTATTATAGAACACCCTTTATAAGCGAGATTTGTTTCGTCTTGCACAGGATTTAATCGCTTGTAAAACTTTGTTTCAGCTGTGAACATGTGCAGAAAATACATATAATCATTGTTTTCTACAGTTTTTTGTCAGTACGTTTGCTGATCTATTGAAGGTGTTTTATTTCAACGTTCGCAACTTTGTCAACAGATGAAAGATTACATTTATTCAATAAACCTTTTCGAACACTCTTTCATTAGGAGAAACCGATCAATGTTTGTATGTCCGTAGTAATATGTAGGCATGTAGGGCCGTACTGTTATTACATTCGAAACGATTCACTTCAGCCAAGAACAAAGCCCAGACGACGTATCAGACAGCTGCCGGTGGTTGTTGTTGGATGTGAACATAAGGTTGACTGTGAAAAAAATCCTTGCCCACACTCACACGATACCACTCGCTTCAGTCCTAGACTCTGACTTCAAAATCAATTTATCATTGATGCATGTTTAAGTACTAATTTTCCCCTCGTCTCCTAGCTGAAATGCATGGAAAGCCAATCACTACAGATTATTAACAAAAAAGGTGAAACTCATATTGATCGTTCTCTGGTTTAGTCTTCTTATTACTAGTAGTTTAATAAGAACTTTACGGTTGCGTTATACAATATTCATAAATACTTGAACTATTGATATGTTATAAGCTTTCGATTAACATATAAACTCGAAATGACCAATAAAGGTTATTGTTCTAAAGATAATCGTGTTATCTTTGAATTCAGAAAAGATATAAAATGTTCTTTACTAGCGAAATGCAGAGTGTTGTCAATAGTTCAGAAACCTCTGCCATAGATTGATTCGTAGTGGTCTGCTGGTAACGAATTGCCTTGGGAAATGTCAACCCAAAAACGTAAAACTTTGTCGACATAAGTGCTGTCACCGGTACCCGCTGGCTTTGCACGTAAATTAGTTTTATCGACGCCGTTCGGACCTGAATTGTAAGCGCGAAGTGTAATGCCCCAATCTTGATCTGCACTCGTATCATACATATCCTTGAGATAGCTGGCACCAAGCATAATTTCTTTTGCTGTACCGTAAAGACCAGCAAAACGATGGGGATATTTTCGTTGAAGTTCAGCAGCTGTATGCTCATTTACTTGCATGACACCCGAATCGACTCCAAAATTGCCTGGATTCGTTGTCGTATCAACATTTATATTGCCTCCAGACTCTTGATAGATGACAGCACCAATAAGATCGGCCGGCATATTTGTTGCTTGTGCGGCAGAATTGATGAAATGACGCAGCTGTCCAATAGGCGCCGGGGCTCTTTCACTCAATGTTGTATCTATCCGAGCATTGTTAGGTGCTTGTCGTGTCGGTAGTAATGGTCCATTAGTTGATTGCCGTGTGTTTGTTGATGGCGTGTTGTGGGATGCTTTGAATTAAAAAAAAACATTCATTTAACAAAATATCCGTGTATTTAGATTATTTTTGTTTTCGGATCAATTGCATAAACATCTTGGTATGACATTTGTAAATAATAAATTTCTAATGACGTTAATTTTTATTTTGGCTGTAAATCTCGAGCATGTTTCAATTTTGATAGAAATCATAGACAAATATATAAAAATGCTTTTTTTTTAAATAATCGAGTACAGTTTACAATTTGTCTTTTTATTTTATGGCTCGATATATAAACCTTTAATAGCTCGCTCTCTTAATATTAGTTGTCTTTGACCGTTAATTAAAACATTATTGTAAGCTATCACTTAAAGTACTTGTGACATCATTTTTGGGATGAAAATATGGTGGGTATGTGTGTAAAAACTGACCAGGAGCTGTTCAAAAGAGTTGTTTTTTTCACAGCTATCATCCATATGATTAATTGATCGTTAGTTTTGAATACTTATAATCGACTTTTGAGAGTTTAACCAGACGGAGTGCCTATTTTTTTCTGTTGAAATTAATGTGCAGTTTAACTCCTACGTTACCTGCGGAGGGTAGTGTCAATATTTGGTCCACATTCAATGCTTCGGGTCTCACTCCAGGATTGGCAGCCATCAATGCATCGACCGTACATCCATATCGTTGACTAATAGACCAGAATGTATCACCGGCTACGACACAGTATGTCGACATACTGTCCGATGACGTACCTAAAATGATATATATGTTTTGGATGATAGTCAACAGATGATTCAACCATAAGACTAAAAAATTAAAAGAAAAATGACCTGTCTATACCTCCATGCTGAGTTCCAGGCAAATTGAGAACTTGTCCAATTTGTAATGCTTCGGGTCTTATCCCAGGATTGAGAGCCATCAATTCATCGGTCGTGCATCCGTAACGTTGGCTGAGACTCCACAATGTATCTCCTGCTACAATAGTGTAACTTGGCATTTGTATTTTCTTCGACGTGATCAATCAATAAAATGGATGAATACAGATATTTTATTTCATTATTTATTGATAAAAAAAAATAAACAAACATAATCTAACTAAAATCAAATTCTCGATTTCAATATAAAGCTAACGCGCATAAATAGTCATTTTAGATTGTTTTGGTTTTTTCATCGCAAATGAACTATTTTGATTTAACAAAAAAACACTACCAATTCGTCTGTCGAACTTTTTGACTGAGAAAAATAAATTTTATGTTCGTTTTTGTAAAATAAACTCAATCAATTGTATTAATCTCAACTGTAACTCTGATATAATAACTTAGACTATTAATTACATTGACGTTTTATTATTAGAAAACTCAAGTAATCAAAAAATGTATTGTACTATAAGTATTCAAAAAGTACTACTATTAAAAAAAAGCATAAGCGTAGAAGACTTCTGTAACGATAAATAGAGCGTTTCAAGCACGTGTATAGTTTAATTATGTTCTATCTTCAAGTATTCTTCTTTGTTTGTGCACACATACTTATGTAGCATTCAGTATAGGTCAAATAGAACAAGAAATCAAGAACAGAATGAAATAGAAGTATTACTGGTGATCGGTCAAGAGGCTACATAAAAATGCAGAGAACAAAAATCGTATAAAACACGTCAGACGAGATTAATAATAAATTAAGTCACAAATTCATTCTCATAGATCTTTTATTTCCAAATCATGACCATTTTAGTGTATTTTATATACGCGACAATAGAGGCCTGCAGGTTAACGTATTTTGACAATCTGTAACCTGCCCTGCTGAGATTCTGGCAACCTGTAACCTGCTCTACTCTGCTTTGTCTGACACTATAGAAAGATCGAAACTTTCATGTCCATTTTATATGCAATTTCATTCACTTTATTTCAGAAGTAAGGCAAAAAAAAGCAATGCTACAATTTCTGAAAATTTCTAATCATCAAAATATCAATAACACTATCTAGAGTAAATGATTATCGTCTTTTTCGTTCAACATCTTTTTCTGAATGTGATATAGATGATATTTCACAAGCATGAAAATCTGACTAATATTGTTGGTGATATTTGAGAGATTAGTTGATGATGAAAATGTAGAAAAGTATAAGGTACAACTCAAAATTAGAAAAATCAACGTACATTTGAGTAGCTACATATATAAAGAATAGTTTTGCGAATCTGGGACTAGAAAAAATCAAGAAACTTATGAGAATGACGAAACGAACATAAAAATTGATGTTTTTTCAGATTCATTGATTAAACATGAAACTTTCACTAATATTATTGCATAATTTTAAAAAACAAATTTATTACATTTGCTTTATTAAATTGTTTCTTTTAATTAACAGACCTCAAATACATCAATTTTCATGTCCATTTCACCAGTCAAACTGCCTCTTTACTCGTGTTTTTGATATAAAATTCGCGAAAATCATGAAATGTTTTGGATTTGTACGTCCATGGAAACACTTCTATTTCTCTTAAATATTTTTGTAAACGGTTTAATTTGGTTATCATCTTACATCTATTCTTTTCTTTATGTATGACTTTAGAAAAGATGTTGACAAAATTTGTCGCAGGTTGACAGGTTACGACATATATAACCTGCAGGGCTCTACCAGACAAAGCATTCATTGAAATATAAACTCTGATGCATTCTCTATATACAGGTCTCATGATTTTCAGAATATCTGCAATATTCTAGAAAAAGTTTTAAGATGAACATCAACTAAGATTTCATTCAAAAAAAAAGAAAGAAAAGAGAGCATCGTAAGTTATTCGATATCTTTGAATTAAAGATATCATTCAATTAATTTAAAATTTTGTCTGTTTCTTTGCAACTAAAAGCTATTTCTCATAAGATTCATTCGAGAATAAAAATTGTTCTCGTATAATTCAGATTCTGCTTTTGTATAAGAGATATCTAAGTAATCCTGTTACAAAATAACTAGTTATTGAATATTTATTTTAATACACATTTTTTATAGGTTTCATTAGACTTGTTTATATGACTTTTTTATGATGTTTTCTCTTTGTCCTAGGCAAAAAAGAAAAACAAAATGAATGAGATATGATAATGCTTATTTTTCATAGTTTTCGTTCACGCCTATCATGAATTATGACCTTTTAATCTAAGTCAACTTCTATGTAAAATAAATCTTGCTGTATATCTGTGCTAACACCAATATATTTTTTTGTAAAAAAACGTCATAGATACTTTTGAGTCTTCTCTGATTGTGAAGTTAATACTCATCTCTGTTCTAAACTGCACTAGTACAACATGTGACTGTGAAATCACGATGATCAAATGAATATTTAAAGTATATTGTTCCGATCTAGTCTTCACTGAGTTATTTATCTTTGTTGTGCGCAATAAATTAGTTGAAACATATTTTCTATTCACTCAAATGACAAAATACATACTCACTATTTGTTGAATCGAAATGTAATATTTGATTTCATATACCCGTTCTTTATATATAAATCTGCATTCATGCATATATTCAGCATGCTTTCTGGTTTCTGTCGACTTGCATCATTGGATCGATTTGCTGGATTTTTTTCCCTTTCTTTTGATTTGCAATGAGTAATTTTTTATATTGACTATGTATTGCTCACGAGTGTCAAACGCTCTTTGATTCATATTCAACACGTAATGATTACATACAGTGAGATGACATTTGATAGTTAAAAATATATCATATTCCGTACAATCTGAAATAAGATTACTCTTCACAATCGACTTGATTTCAATTATGAAAAAAATAATTCAATATACGATTGAAATGCAATCTAAAATGCTCTTTATAACATGCTATGTGAAACAAAATCAATATTGTCTACTACCGATTTTCTTCAAATAAGAATGTAATGAAAATCTTTCGTAGTTGAAGACACCCCGATTAGAGGATTGATAGACGCTTCACTGTGAAAAAATATTGTTGGGATATTTTCAATTTATGAATGGATAGAGTAAATATAATCTCACAGTTCTAGCATTCATTTTGATTCAGTTTATCTTCTAGTAAGCTTCGGATTTACTTTTGTTAAAGCTGTTTTCAATCGAAATGGTAATTATGATTGCTGTATTTACGCAATAATTTACTTGAAGTCGCATAGAATGATTCATCGGTTAACAGCTTAATCCTTTGGTACGGGTTTTTGTTTGTTTTTTTTTCAAAAATTTTGAATTATATTTTATTATCATATAGAACCATTCAGCAATGTTTCAGAATATGATATTTTTGAAAACAGCCTATAACACAAAGCTCAACCTTACAAACGTGAACACATTGGAAAAATCTTATGGAATATGTTGGGGAATTTCAACATGCGATGCGCGGATATTTCCAACTATCATGAATGTCCTAGAACTCGTTCCATAAGCAATTGCAAGTGACGACAAAAACATAGAACATCATTCTGCAAGACGGAAAGTACAAAGAAAAGAGAAGGAAAATCTGCTTGAACTATTATAACGAAATATATCACAACGAATCTATGTCAACAGAATGCAAAAGAAAGTAGATAAATACAATGTATAATGATGCTATTCGATGTCACGGTAATGAAACAGCACGAGACTGAGAGAGGGCACCCTAATAGTTTAATCAAGAAAAACAAATTTCGCAATCGTACTTTAAGCGAAGTTCAAAACGTATATATACGTATCCGGTAACCAAAGGGTTAATAACATGAGGAAAATTGAATTAAATCTTATGTTTTATTGCTTTCGTACATAATTATTATACATTACGTAGAACTTCAAGCATGAGTTATATGAGTATGTATTTGGAATATATTTCATTGCCATATACTATATAGTAATATAGTTTTTGCTGTATATGTTTATGATGTTATTGTTTATGGTAATAACACATCATAATGATATTGTTCATAATCATATGGTTCATGATGACATTGCTTTTTCTTTGTTTTTTTTATTGTCTCTTATTTTTGTCTATGGTTATAAAATCTGAAGTCTTTTTACTTGGTTAAAAATGGCCGTTAAAAGATCGAAAATTTCCATATTAATAAAATTTTTCACTGAAATTCTCTACATTTGTTTCATTTATTAAATAACAATGATTTACACAATTTCGTTACAATCTTATGTAGAATAATGCATTAGTTCTGTAAAAAGAAATTTCTACAATAGATTTGGATCAATTTTGATAGCTACGATTGATTGTGTCATGATGCTTATTTTCTTGATTGACTAGATATTCAGTAGTAAAATACATTCCATTAAAATCATCGTTTCGACTTAGGATGTAGATGCAGATCTAGGCGATTGAACTAAATAAAATTAGCCAAATAAAATAGCGATGAATGTATAGCTAAAATTTTTATTTTTTGTTTTTTGACTCATGAATGGATTTCAACAATGCTTTCATGTTTGATATTCAGAAGATTTCACTTGTGAATAATATTTGATTTACCAAGTAAAAATACGTAGCGATAAATGTTTCAATTTCATTCGATCTTTCAAAGACGCTCTCATATTCAATATTTTTTAACATGAAAAATCTGACTTTCAACAATATAAAATTGTTATGTTCGATCAAATTATTGATAAGAATGAGCCAAAAAAAGAAAAATACATCTATTTGATATCTTTATACAAATCTGTGTTGCTCTCTTAAAGATAACGGGATTCGATCCATTGCTGTACTTTTAGTACTTTCGAAAACTATCAAGAATACTTTTCTATTATTTGAACTTTATAATTAAGAAGATCCTCAACAGACTTATCAATGCCTGGATTGTTTAATATTTTTCCAATAATTCCATAACCACAATTATTTTTTTTCACTTGGAATATCAATTATGGTACCATCTCTTAATATAAGTCAAAGTGCTTCCTTCTTTTTTTCGATTTTGACTCTCTGTATGGTGTTTTTCATTGGCAGTAAAATGATGGTGTACTTTCTCTCTCTGAAATAGCCTTTGTTAATTTTATGCATACCAGAACTACTCCAGAAT